TTCCGACTTTTTGGATGACAAAACCAAGGGTGCAAGCTAGAAAATTTTATTTGTACGTGAACACAACATCCGATTTTCGTTTAATGTGTACATTAATTGTAAGGAAATAATCGAATAGAAAAAAATTCACATGATCACAAGCATAGAACAACCCTACATCTCCTTTTCTACTACACTAGTACATAGCTATGTTTGTCTTGGCTAGTGGAGAATTTTCGTACAAGTCAATACCTTTCCAACTACATCATGATATGCATTTTCATGGAAAAATGAATGTTCGGTCATCAGATTTTCTAATAGTGTATGTAGGCTTTAGGCGAGCAGTTGAACATGACTAAGAAATTGCAGCTGAACTCTGGTTCACACGTTATAATCAGTTACAGCAAACAGTTTTTTCCTTTGGGGTCAAATCGTTTTTACATAAATGAGTAAATGCCGACTATTGAAAGCATCCCTGCAGTGGTAAATTGTTTGTCTCAACCCTCCAGCTGCTACAGTGATAGCTTGTTCTGTTAAAGCAGGGGTGTCAAACTGGTGGTCCAACATGCCTCTATCTTTGGGAGTCATGCTTGTAACTGTCAATCTTGCAATGCCTCATGGGACTTGTAGTTTGGCAACAGCTGGAGGGCCACCAGTTTGACACCTGTGTGTTAAAGGAAGTTGAAAAATAAAAGACTTGTCGGATCCTCATGTGAAAATCAAGGAAAAAATTCTAAAAAAAAGAAAACTAATGCTGAAACCACATTTAAGAATTTCTTAAGCTGAAATGTAATAAATTGCTGTTGTTTTGGGGTTTAATATTACTTTAACCTCCCTGGCGGTATTCCGGAGTGTAGCTCAGGGTGAAATTTCAGTACCACAAGCGGTATCCCCGAGCTACACTCGGGCTTGCCATGCGGCGATGCTCAGGGATTCCCTGCAGCGCTTACCTTGTCCTTCGCTCCCACGATGTCCCTCCTGCAGCGTCCCCGGCCATCTCCTCTGGCTGATGCCAGCACCCAGCTTCCGTGTTCCGATCCCTGTGACGTCGGGAAGTACGGGGGCCGGAACCGGAGGCAAATTTAAAAACTGTCATTTTTTTGTAAACAAATATTACATAGCAAAACATTGCTGTTTCAAAGCATTTCACATACGTTTTGTCCCGAGTGCTTTGTCCTGTGCCCTGTGCCCTGCCTGCATTTTGACTGTTCTTTCTGCCTGGAAACTTAGAAAAGTCCATGGCGTCCAAAAAGCGTCCTTTTAGGTCAAAAGCTGTTTTAGACCAGCTAGAGAACAGCGATAGTAAATCAGAACCACTTGCAGAATTGAGTGATAATGATTTGTGGTGAAATTCGTCATCAGACACTGAAAACAATTCTGAGACTTTGCTCAGCGATGTGCGAACTTGGCGCTATATTTCAAATTTCAGTGTTTTTGGTTTGAATATATTATTGAATTAAATTTATTATTATATTATTATTTTTTATGATTATTTATTAAATTATAATTTATGATTTCAAGTTTTATCATATCCGGAATGTTTACTAGACTCTTGTTCGTACAGATTTCAGTGAGTTATTCCTAAAAATAACAGGCCTACAATAAAAAACTACATATTTCCATGCAAAATAATGGTACCGCTTTCAGCACCAAAAATCTGAAATAATCATACCGCCAGGGAGGTTAAGTTAATGTATTATCTTGGATTGCACAGAGTTCACAAAGCAACAGTCTTGTTTACTCCAAAGCAACACAATTAGCAGCTAGCTCGGTGCTTAGGCTTCTGGTGTAGAGCTACTGTTGGAACCCATACGTAGAATTCATATTACTGCTGAGGTATTGCTTCGAACACTTCCAGACCATGAGTCAACAGTGCGCTGTGAGAGGGCTTTCCCCAGAGATAAAATTTCACTTTGCAAAGAATACCCATATCTCATGCAAAAGAAAAAAAAAAACAGCATTTTGCTTGCACGTGATTGCATGATAGAAGTCAGTGGAGCTTTACCATTTCATTAAGCTTTGGGGCAAATTCTCAAATTTTCTCCAGAGAATGTGTAGAAATTTCACTTTGCAAAGAATACCCAATCATATGCAAAGAAAAAAACAGCACATGATTGGGAGTCTAATGTCCCATACACACTATAAGAAAATCGGACAAACATATTCTTATGATGAACAATCGTGCAATTTTCTAATGGAGTGTACATAATTTTTGACAGCCAATTCAGAGCTTCCGAACAAAAATTACCAAAGGGACAAACTGCAAAATGTTTGTTGTACGGGAACAGAACAAATGATTTTCATTTAATGTGTATTGGTTTCATACGAGAAAAATTGGATACGAAAGAACATGCATAATCGGAAACTGCTTATGACCCAGAAGAACCTAAAGAAAATAAAAACCCATGGTAAGCATAATAGCCATTAATGTCAGTAAACAGTGGTGTTCAACCCCCCCCCCAAAAAAAAATTACATATGCCCCTGTATCACAATGAATGTGTGTGTTTGCATGTTGATGTAAAAAAACAAAAATTGTATATTTTCAACAATAAATGTTATTAACTACAGGTGAAACTCGAAAAATTAGAATATTGTGCAAAAGTTCATTTATTTCAGTAATGCAACTTAAAAGGTGAAACTAATATATGAGATAGACTCATTACATGCAAAGCAAGATAGTTCAAGCCATGATTTGTCATAATTGTGATGATTATGGCTTACAACTCATGAAAACCCCAAATCCACAATCTCAGAAAATTAGAATATTGTGAAAAGGTGCAATATTCTCGGCTCAAAGTGTCCCACTCTAATCAGCTAATTAAGCCATAACACCTGCAAAGGGTTCCTGAGCCTTTAAATGGTCTCTCAGTCTGGTTCAGTAGGAATCACAATCATGGGAAAGACTGCTGACCTGACAGTTGTGCAGAAAACCATCATTGACACCCTCCATAAGGAGGGAAAGCCTCAAAAGGTAATTGCAAAAGAAGTTGGATGTTCCCAAAGTGCTGTATCAAAGCACATTATTAGAAAGTTATGTGGAAGGGAAAAGTGTGGAAGAAAAAGGTGCACAAGCAGCAGGGATGACCGCAGCCTGGAGAGGATTGTCAGGAAAAGGCCATTCAAAAGTGTTGGACTTTCACAAGGAGTGGACTGAGGCTGGAGTCAGTGCATCAAGAGCCACCACACATAGACGGATCCTGGACATGGGCTTCAAATGTTGTATTACTCTTGTCAAGCCGCTCCTGAACAATGTTAGAAGCTTCTTACCTGGGCTAAAGAAAAACAGACCTAGTCTGTTGCTCAGTGGTCCAAAGTCCTCTTTTATGATGAGAGCAACTTTTGTATCTCATTTGGAAACCAAGGACCCAGAGTATGGAGGAAGAATGGAGAGGCACACACTGCAAGATGCTTGAAGTCCAGTGTGAAGTTTCCACAGTCTGTGTTGATTTGGGGAGCCATGTCATCTGCTGATGTTGGTCCACTGTGCTTCATTAAGTCCGGGGTCAACACAGCCATCTACCAGGAGATTTTGGAGCACTTCATGCTTCCTTCCGCAGACAAGCTTTATGGGGATGCTGACTTCATTTTCCAGCAGGACTTGGCACCTGCCCACACTGCCAAAAGCACCAAAACCTGGTTCAATGACCGTGGGATTACTGTGCTTGATTGGCCAGCAAACTCGCCTGACCTGAACCCCATAGAGAATCTATGGGGCACTGCCAAGAGAAAGATGAGAGACATGAGACCGAACAATGCAGAAGAGCTGAAGGCCGCTATTGAAGCATCCTAGTCTTCCATAACACCTCAGCAGTGCCACAGGCTGATAGCTTCCATGCCACACCACATTGAGGCAGTAATTGCTGCAAAAGGGGCCCAAACCAAGTACTGAGTACATATGCATGCTTATACTTTTCAGAGGTCCGATATTGTTCTATGTACAATCCTTGTTTTTTTGATTGCATGTAATATTCTAATTTTCTGAGATTGTGGATTTGGGGTTTTCATGAGCTGTAAACCATAATCATCACAATTATGACAAATCACGGCTTGAACTATCTTGCTTTGCATGTAATGAGTCTATCTCATATATTAGTGTCACCTTTTAAGTTGCATTACTGAAATAAATGAACTTTTGCACACTATTCTAATTTTTTGAGTTTCACCTGTATATACTATGATAAAAATATAACCATCAAACTAGATGCAAATCCACAACAAAGTGCTTTATATCAGGTCAACAATTAAACGTCCAGAAAACCAAGAAATTGTAGCAAACAGACTGTACCATTCAACTAAAGATTTGTGTAATGATAATCCTGGCACCATGATGAGGCTTGACGAATAGGTGCGGGATAATGTCATTGTGGTGTATGCTGCAGTGATGATGGAGGCGGTGGTGCTAGTGGAGGTGGCATTGGAGGTGCAGGTTGTGATTCAGTTGCTGCATTTGATAACATTCGGAAATGGTATCCAGAACTATTCTGACAATTCGTCACAAAAGATCCGTCGATGGGGAGATAATAATTATGGCACTGAAAGGTGTGGCTACAGGGTCACACATCACACATACATTACATCACTTCCACACCTACGCTAAAACGTTCGTACCCAATGCCTTTTTCGTACAATATTTTTCATGCAGCAAAAAGTATATTGCTTTCGACCAGCTGCAAACAATCGAGGAACATCGAACGATCGTTACTCCGATTTTCTCAGTGTGTACGGGGCCAAAGGCGTCCCTAGGGTTGGTTTCACCTGGTGCGGTAACACTTGGTGACACCCCCTCTGACAATGAATGGATCGGATCTGCGGATTGAGCATAATGGATTGGACTCCGATCCATTATGCTCAATCCACAGATCCGATCCCTTCTGCGGGGATCGTCGGCTTTCTTTACAACTTACCTTTTCGTTGAGCGGGTCCGTTGTCACTCTGTATAGGTAGCATGCCAATGATCCCTGCAGGATGGTTCGTATCTGCGGATTGGGGAGCATAATGGATTGCAGTCCGATCCACTATGCTCCCCAATCCACAGATCCCATCTATCCTGCGGGGATAGCCGGCATGCAACCTATACGGGGTGCAGGGGCGGACTGACAACTCATTGGGCCCCCGGGCAATAAGAGATCATGGGGCCCCATGTGTCCCCACCCACACTCAAGCCACACCCACACAAAGGTCCATCTACATATTGCACTGCCTACATTACATGCATTTGTGGCAGCCATCCTCCACATTATTATTATTATTATGCAGGATTTATATAGCGCCAACAGTTTGCGCAGCGCTTTACAAAATGAAGGTAGACATTACAGTTACAATACAATTTGGTACAAGAGTATTGCATCCCAGCTGCACAGAAGGGCCCATCAGCAAACTGCAGAAGCTGTTGCGCCTTCATGTTCAGGAATGAGCCAATGCCCAATTCTTGGCTCACAGAGATTCCCCTTGCCATTGCTGGTGAAGCCACCAAAGACATGACAGGTTCAAAGATGGCAGCTATCTGATAACCTGCCAGGTGCCCGTAGGCTTCCCAACCATGCCTCCAGGAATCTCTGTGAGCCTGATCATTTGGTCATTATAACTCTGCTGCATAGATTTTTTTTTTTTTTTTTTTTTTTAGTCTGCAAACGTGCAACTATAACGAAAAAACCCGTAAGTGTTCACAAAAAAAGTGCAAGTGCAAAACACCACATGAAAAAGTGCACTTAGGGGTGTGCTTTTGTCCTACCCCTAAAGGGGCCTGACCGCTACCCTGATCCCCCGGGGCACGAAGCTCCTGACAAGGACAAGGTTCCCATTTGGTCCTCCTGGCCAAAAGGCCTGGTGGACCATCGTTCCTTGTGTCCAGCCGAAGCCGGACACCCAGTACTTGGTCAGGGGGCTCTCCCGAAGAGAAAAACCCCCTAGGGATCAGGGGAGGAAGGAACCAAAAGGCCACACATCCTCCCCCTAGACTTCAGGGCAGGCCGGAGGACCCACACCCTCCATCCTGTGAAAACACACACACATAAGTAAGAAAAAGTGACAAAACGTGGGAGTGAAATAATAAATAATAAATAGAAAATAAAAAAGTGGCCGTGCCTAATTGTGCACAGAACAGGCCCTGAACTCTGCTGCATAGATATGGCATTTAAATATCCACTGCAGTATAGCCTGCATGGAAGTTCCTGGCTTCCTTCTATAGAAGCCAATGGGCACTTTCAGGTTTAAAGATGGAGAACGTGCAGCAGCTATCTTTCTGATGCAGCCATGGGCATTTTATGAAACCAGTGGGCCTGTGTACAAGATCAAAACTTGGGCCCTAATACATTTTAATTGCTTTGTTTGGGCATTCAGCTCCCACTCAGCTCCTTCCTGATAGGGTTGCCAACTTCTCCACAACTTTTTTTTTTACATGGAAACTTTACTGACAGAGTGCATTTTTTACTGAGATTCTGAATTATGACAGAATTTCCTGTTACATATTAAAGAGGTGAAGAGTGGGGTGGAGGGATAGAGACAGAAGAGGAGAGGGGGAGGGGGGGGGGAAGAGAGATAGGAATAGGAGAGAGGGGGATGGGGGAGATGGAAAAGTAGGAGAGAGATGGAGAAAGGGGAGGGGTGGAAATAGGGGGGGGGGGGGGGGAGAGATAAAGTGGGAGGTGAGAGAGGGGTGTGTGTGAGAGAAAGGGGTTGAGGGGGTAAGATGGAGAGGGGTTGAAAGAGGTGGTGAGAAAGAGAGAGGGGGGGGGGGTGAGGAGAGTAAGATGGAGAGGGGTGAAAGAGGGAGTGAGTGAGAGAGAGGGAGGGAGAGGGGTAAGGAAGAGAGAGAAGGGGTGAGAAAGAGGAGGGGTGACAGGTGTGAGAGGGGGATGAGAGAGAGAAGGGGTATAACAGAGAGAGGGGGTTGAGAGAGAGAGGGAAGGTGAGAGAGAGGAGAGGCGAGAGAGAAGGTGGAAGAGAGTGACAGGGGATGAGAGAGAGATGGAAAGAGAGGTGAAAAAGAGGAGGATGAGAGAGAGGGGGAGAGAGAGAGGGGGTGAGCGAGAGGGAGGTAAGAGAGAGGGAGGGGGGTAAGTGAGAGGGGAGTAGGAGAGAGGGGGGTAAGAGAGAGAGAGGAGGAAAGAGGGGGGTGAGAGAGAGGGGTGAGAGAGACGGTAAGGAGGGTGTAAGAGAGAGGGGAGTCAGAGAGAGTGGGGCAAGAGAGAGAGAGGAATGGTGGGGGTGAGAGAGAAGGGAGGTGAAAGAGAGGGGGGGTAAGAGAGAGAGGAGGTGAGAGGGGGGGGGGGGGAGAGAGAGGGGCTGAGAGAACGAAAGAGAGGGGGATGAGAAATGTGAGAGAGAGATGGGGGCAAGAGAGAGGGGGGGTGAGAAAGAGAGAGGGGAGTGAGAAAGGAATGGTGTGGGTGAGAATGAGAGAAAGAGACGGGCAAGAGAGAAGGGGAAGCAAGAGAGAGAAGGGGGTGAGAGAGAGGGGAGGATGAGAGATAGAGTGAGAGGGGGGTGAGAGCGAGGGGAGGGCAAGAGATAGAGTGGAGGGGTGAGAGAGAGGGACAGAGTTGAGAGAGAAAGGGGGGTTGAGGGGGATTTTCAGTATGTCTGCTACTCACAACTATGACCCCAGGTTGCTCTCACCTAGTCTCAGGCAGGATCTAGAGCTGCTGTGTTAAATCTGCCACCTTCATAGCCCCTTTCACAGCAGAGCTGCAGAGCCAGAGCAGTGAGTGGCCGTGCTGCGAAGGAGGGGCGCAGCTTGCCATGCACGGCTTTCCCGGAGGGGGTGTTCCCTGTTCTGCGGCTGGACACAGGCTCTCTGTGCTGTCTGCTCTCAGCTGTCTTCGTTCTGTCCTCAGGTTAGGGGATCTGTGTGTGTGTGTGTGTGTGTGTGTGGGGACCTTCACGTCACTGATCTATGGGGACTTAAAGGAAGCTGCTGAGGAGAGCACCCTGTACAGAGACAGCTGTACGACTAATGCTCAGGAACAAGTAGAGGGGCAGTGACAGAGCCCCTCATGGGGCCCCCCAATGGCCCGGGCCCTCGGGCAGTACCCGAGTGCCCGTATGGTCAGTCCACCCCTGACGGGGTGAGACTGGACCAGTTCCACGAAAAGGTAGGTTGTAAAGAAAGCCGACGATCCCCGCATGTTACCTTTTTGTGGAGTGGGTCCGGTGTCACCCCGTGCGGTCGGTGTCACCCTGTGCAGGCCGCACCCCCCCCACCTGCCTCGGGACGCCACTGTATGGGGCATAATTGCCGTAAGTTAACCCCAATGGGTCAAGCTTCATTTGCAAAGTCAGTCCTAGAAGATTCAGGTATTTACTTCTATACCCTGGTTTAGTTGTAAGAAAATTAGGAAAGGCTGATCTTATGTTATATTGTGAACAAATGCTGCCAGGTCAAATTGCAATGCATTATACAAAAGTATATAAATAAAATTAACCTTAAATTGTGGCAACTTTGGCAGCTCCACAAAGGTACAGTGTAAGCAGATTTTAAAGATGATGTCACCGTCTAAAAATATGCATGACTGCATGCAAAAAAGCTCAAGACACTTAAAAATTTGCTTTTGTACATACCAAATAAAGCTCTTTTCATATAACCCTGAAACTATGTGATTCACATCAAACCCAGGATGAAGTTCCTTAAAAATAGCTTAAAACACAGACACAGACATCCTCCGCAGCTGAAAGACTGGGCAGCTCCAGTCAATGGTTGACTTGTTTAGGCTGCCAGTATTTCGATTCCAGGGGAAGAGAGTAATCAGTGCAGTTACCTAGGAGAGCTACAGACTGAGAAGTCATACTGAGAATACACAGCGATTGGCTGTTCTGCTGGGCTACAGAGAATATATACCATTATTTTCATCATCCGAAAAGAAGAAATGGCAAAACTAAGTGAATAAAGAGCTACTACTGTTAGTCCTGGAAGAAATTCTGCTACATGTTGTGCGGATGATATATTTCTACAACGCCTCGACACAAAGCATTGGATGAAGAACACAGCCAGTCCTTTATGTACTGCCACTTCATCAGTCCACAGACACTCACTGTCATGGTCAAACAGGACACACATGGCTGTAGTCCCAGTTTTTTCAGAAGACCTTACATTATCCCTTTATTAGCAATTTCTTTAAAGTAAAGCCTCTTTCACAACCATCCGAGAAAACATGGAAATCCTTAATTCCAGAAGCTGTCTTCATGATTGTTCTCAAATGATGTGAAACTGACATTTCTATTCTGGCAATGGTAATGGAAATATGTCCTCAGGTAAAATGTCTGTAAAGCACCTGTCTTAGAAGCTATGGATGGAAGCTGCCATTCTCTGACTCTAAAACTGCTTGTTTGATTTAGAGAAATAAAATGAAACCCAATCGGTTTTGCTACAAGTCACATCACTGCTGCAGGATACGTAGCACAGAAGTTAACACAAGTCAGCTTTCAACTGAGACTGATGCAACCAACTGATGTCTTCCTGGGTGGGCTAAACCTTTAATGGAAATTCCATGACACAAATCACCAGTCCTCACCCTCTGCCACACTTACTATGCAAACAGCATTAAAAGAATGTTATTGTTAATGCTGTTATTAATATTAAAAGTAATTATGGAAATAATAGCATAACATTTATGGGTGGAGGTGTGCAGTAGGTGCCTTGGATGCCTGCTGAGAATTATTAGAAGTGGGGGTAGTGAAGGGTAATTGCACTTTCTTTTTATATGTATTTGAAAGTTAATAAACTGTTAAATAAGAAGTTTCTGTGAGCAGAGCCAAATTTCGGCATTGCCAACATAAGCTGTGGCCAGGAACAGCAGGGCTACGAGGGGTGGTACACTATCATCCACACATCATATGGCTGACTGTCAGTAAAACATTTCCATTTATAATAAAAGGTTCCAGATTGCTGCCATGCCTACCGGTACAACCAGATTATGTGTGTATCATTGCTCTCCCTGCACAGTATGAGCATTTTGTTGCTGCACTAATGTACTGTGTGTTCACATTTTACCTACTTTGGATTCATACAATTAGAACCAAACTGATAGTGGAGAACTTGCTCTCTTCTTCCAATTGACAGTTCTAGGTGTGCTGATACCAACTGGGAAGATTAATCTCTTTTTTTCACTTTGCTGCCCTATCCTCAGTATGCCTTTGTGTGGTTATGACATCTGATGTTGTTAGTGTGATACTTAGGCCCAGTACACACAATGAGAATATCAGACAAATTATATTTTTTTTTTTTGCATGTTAGTTTCATATCGAAAGTCAGGAAGTTACTAAAGTTACAAAAACATTTGTATGAAAGAATACATATTCAAAACTGTTGTGATGTATTGTATTGTGTTTTCGGACGAAAACTGTTCTGATTAAACAAAAATCGTACAATCTGGTATCGTACGAGAAACTTTCGTGCTTGTCCCTTTGAAGAATTTCTAACAAAAGCCTTGTACTAACAATCAGATTATTGTACAATAGCTTCAAAAGCACGATTTTCTGATTATGTGTACTAGGCTTAGGGCTAACGAGGTAACTGGGATAGCAGGAGGCAGCACAAGACAGTTGGTCTAAAGCAGGGGTCTCCAAACTTTTTTTAAACAAAGGGCCAGTTTACTGTTCTTCAGAATTTAGGAGGGCTGGACTGTGGCCATTGGGAGCAGAAAAGGTCCCAAGATTAGATGGAAAAAACAATGCCCCAACATTGCTATCATTGGGAGGAATTGTGCCTCATCATTGGTGTCATTGGGTCTCATAATTGGGTGTCATTGGGAGAAATTGTGCCCTTCATTTGTGTCAGTGGGAGGGATTATGCTACATTGTTGGTGTCAGTGGATGAAATAGTGGATGAAATAGTGCCCCATGAGCCGGATGAAAGCAAGCAAAGGGCTGCATCTGGCCCCCAGGCCACAGTTTGGAGACCACTGGTATAAAGCCTCATATACACAATGAGAATATTATACCAATGATCATTTGTTTTTTTTTGCATGCTAATCTCATATTGAAAATGAAGAGGTTACTAAGGTTACAACTTCAGAAGTGATTTATTGTATTGTAATATATTCTTTTGTTTCTTGGCATATGTTGGCTTGGTCACTCGATTTTTTTTCTGGATGAATACCATACTGATTAACCTCCCTAGTGGTGGTATGATTATTTCAGATTTTTGGTGCTGGAAAGCGGTACCATTATTTTGCATGGAAATACGTAGTTTTTGTATTGTAGGCCTGTAATTTTTAGGAATAACTCACTGAAATCTGTCCGAACAAGAGTCTAGTAAACATTCCGGATATGATAAAACTTGAAACACGAAATCTTAAATTATAAATTTAATAAATCATAAAAAATAATAATAATAATAAATATAATTCAATAATATAATCAAACCAAAAACACTGAAATTTTAAATATAGCGCCAAGTTCGCACATCGCTGAGCAAAGTCGCAAAATCGTTTTCAGTGTCTGATGACGAATTTCACCACAAATCATTATCACTCAATTCTGCAAGTGGTTCTGATTTTACTATCGCTGTTCTCTAGCCGGTCTAAAACCGCTTTTGACCTAAAAGGACGCATTTTCGACGCCATGGACTTTTCTAAGTTTCCAGGTAGAAAGAACAGTCAAAATGCAGGCAGGGCACAGGACAAAGCACTAGGGACAAAATGTATGTGAAATGCTTTGAAACAGCAATGTTTTGCTATGTAATATTCGTTTACAAAAAAAAATCACAGTTTTTAAAATTTTTAAATTTGCCGCCGGTTCCGGCCCCCGTACGTCCCGACATCACAGGGACCAGAACACGGAAGCCGGATGCCGGCATCGGCCGGAGGAGATGGCCGGGGACGCTGCAGGAGGGACAACGTGGGAGCGAAGGACAAGGTAAGTGCTGCAGGGAATCCCTGAGCAACGCCGCATGGTAAGCCCGAGTGTAGCTCGGGGATACCACTTTTGGTACTGAAACTTTACCCCGAGCTACACTCGGGAATACCGCCAGGGAGGTTAAGCGAAAATTTTTGTTTTGGTATCGTACAAGAAACCTTTTTGTGCTTGTGCCTTCAGATAATTTTGCATTAGCTGTCATGATCGGCTGTTGAAAGCTGCATACTAACAATCAGATTAATGGACAATCACTTCGAAAGTGGTATTTTTCATCCGATTTTCTCATCGCGTGTATTGGGATTTAGAGGGGCAGAAGATATAAATCTGGTGGTGTTTGTCAGCTACACAGAGCCATGGGTTGGGAATTACAGACATACACATATTCATTACATTTAACAAATCAATTCAGTGGTAGAACAATAGATTTATAGGAACCATCCACCCAACACTAAAGCTGGCCATATATTATACAATTTTCCTGTTCAACTTCCTTTAGATTTACTTTCAACTATGTAATGTAAGGTTTTTTTGTCTACTGTTGTCCATTGAAGTTGGATATTACAATCAATGTTCATATAACCTGTGATCAGGCTCAGTGGGTCACTGGCTGAACTTACCAAAGGCTTCCAACTATTTAACATTCAGCTGTGAGCCTTGGCATAACTGCTCACATTCAGTATATCTCTGTGGTTAACAGGGAATTCATCCCCTAGTAAATGTGATTGGCCTTTATGGCCCTGTATTAATATTGGGCTAAATTGTGAGCCCTCTGTCCAACTTTTGTTAATATTTGTGTGCTGCTCATGCATAGCGGATTATGTTCTGGTAGGAGAGTCCATTTTCCAGAGTCTTGGCTTTGCCTTTTGGCCCAATGTGGGTGACCCCATTGCACGAGACTCCGGTTGTTATTGACTCACAATTAGTGTTCATATAAGAAGTAAGGTAGTTGCATTATGTCAATACTCACAATTTGTGTGGCCTGGGTCATGTTATAGTTATCTATTTTATTCATGTGAATAGAGGATATCCTTGGCCTAGTAGGTCTATTACCATTTTGTGAAACTTTATAAAGCTGTTAGTTTTATATTACACCGCTGTTGGTTCTCTTTTAAACTTTGAAGCGATCCCTCTGACCCCTAGTGTTCATTACTGTGTTTCTGTTTTGAGGACCCCATCATAACTTACTGGTGAGTCGGTGATGACCATA